ACCGTGTGTGTGCATTAAAAAACCTTTTGAGAGGAAAATTCTGAACTTATCTGGACTTTCCTAACTGTATAGAGTATGACTGCACAAAACCTCAAATCTCTGCTGAGATACCTGAAATTAGAAATGAAGGTTTCTAATTTTGCATCACTGAATTTGATGGCAGTTTTACAATCAATCTAGATGAGTTGCTTGGAAAGAATTAGGACTCTCCAATGTTAAACTTATTTCATCTGGAGTTGCTAAGCTGAGATTTTGTGAGGTTTTTTCCCCCCATGTTTTCATCTAACTTTTGGAAACACACAAAAAATAAAGGTCAGAGACCAGAACACAGGACTCAATCTAAACTTCAGTGACATTAAGTTTTGATGCTCTGTTACTTAAAGGGCAGTCAGGGCTGTTACATTTAATCCATAAGAGAGATGCACATCTGAAGTGTTGTGATATTCAATTGGAGAACTCAACTCCCTCTTGAGTGCATGCACTCCATTTGCTGCAGTATTTACGGCTTTGAAATAATATATATGTATAAAAATATATAAGTTTTATATATTTATAAAACATAAATACATAAAATATGCTCATGTGACTCTGATCATCAGTGACTGCAAAGGAAATGGGTGTAAATGGGAGTTCTCAAATGAGCCTGAGCATTGCTGCCCTGGAAAAAGCCACTTGAGGTGAATGCACACAAAAGCTGAAACTGTGACCAAGGAACTGTTTTCCTAATGTTTTGAACTTCCACATCTGTTACAAAGACCTGACCAAGACACACTGAGAAACAACTCTGTGGGCTTGCCTAGGGCTTGGGCACCACAGGGTACAGCAGACCCTTCCCATGGGAGCTTTCCCTTCTCAGATCTGGGACTGGGAGGCATTGCTAATCTCAAACCTGAGCCAGGGCGCTCATCATTCTCAATTTCAAATGATTTCCACAAGACACATCATGATCAACACCTTGGCAAATCAATTCTATGAGTGCTATCACTACAACCAACCCATGGATAAAGGCTGCTCTCATGGCTAAGGCAGATGGAAATCAGATTTTATAGCATCTGACTCCAGGTAAAAGACTATCTGTTGGTAACTGAACTGGTTCACAGATAATTTTTTTCCTTTTCAGCTTGCACTTATTACTTCAGGTGCCATCAGTATCCAATGTATTTTGGTACAAAATTTTTTTAATGCAGTTGAAATGCCACTGAGTTGAAGTTATTTACGTGGTTGATAAAATGAGAAACATGCTGAACAGATTCTAGAACAAGGAAGAGGAAAATAAGTGTGTGTGTATATATATAGACAAACATTTGTAATCTCAAATTGGACTTTATTTTGTTCTCTGTCTGTCTATTGCTCAAATAGTTATGTTCAAAAAGCTCGGAAGTGAGCCACCTTTTCTATGGCAACAACACTAAGAAAAATGTTGCGTTTCCATGATCTAATTTAATTCTATTGATGTGATCTTATGGTAGCAATGATGCTTAAAATGTTCCAAGCTCAAATTGCCATAGCATTGCCTTCCACTGAAAGAACTGAGGTTTTATTATTTTATACTCATAGATGAAAGACTCTTATGATGCCACTTTAGTATGTGCTACAAGCATACCATTGTATTAATAGTAGGTCAGGCTTTAATAATATTAAAATGGAAAAGGAATACTGATGAGATATGGGGTATCTGATAGGTTTGGGGAATTTATAAAAATACCTGCATGAGCACTTGCTTTCTGTCACAAAACATGCACAATCATCACTTAGAAATACACAGCTCCGAGAAATTTTAGGACATGGTCACATCCCTTCTTGTCCGTAATCTCAGATATCACTATTTCTCTCCCTTTATTAACATTCCTCAGGGCTTGGACATCAAATGATCTGTGCCTACCAAGAAGAGTCAAGTGGGTGGGTTCCAGGCCCCCTATTTTCAATAAATGTCCGAAAAAGTCTCAGTTAAATTCTGTGAGAATGATCTTCCTAAGCAAAGATTTTAAAAGATGAAATCTGCAACTACATGAGAGGAAATAGAAACAAAATTCAAGAAGAGCTTCAGGGGCTGACAGAGCTAAATTTATGTCCATGGCTGACTGTGAGTTCTCACTTGAAATGGTTCTACATCCTGAAGAAGAGAGGATTTTTTTTTAAGAGAAGACAATGCATCATATGTTAACAGTGGTGCAAATAAAGTGCCCAGGGATCAATTAAATTGATTTGGTAAAGGTGCAATGTTATTGGAAAAATCCTGAACATCACAAATGACAAAAATTCAAAAGATAACAAATCTCACAAAAAAGTGAATTTAAATCTGATTGTGGGACTACTTCCCCCTTTACAGCTCTTTTTTGGACCTCAGTAACAGGAGCTGATGGTAATGACTAAATAACATTTTAAAAACCACCAAGAGAGTCCATCTGAGGAGGATTCTACCTCACCTCGCAGAGATTAAAACTTCTGTTTTATTTTTAAGGAAAGGCATACAAGGAGTAGCTGTCATTTACAGCCGTACTTCTTATTAAAACCAGGTGCATTTGTTAAGCAGGCACACGGAGAGCTATTGATTTTTTAATATTGAAGAAAATGTCCAAAGTTAGTTTCTTGGCTAGCAGCCTGCCCAGTTAACAAATTGTTCACCTGGATAATTTAAGAACCAACTTACATGAAATGCTTGAATCTCCAAGGACACTGAAGGCCCTCAGCTTACAACTAAGCATAGAAATCAAAGTCCTCCATAGCCAGGATGCAAGTTTGGAAAAAGAAGGGAGTTAACAAATAGCTTAGGAGGAAGCTAGCAGAAAGCTGTGCTCGTTCTGAAAGCAGGGAGGTGGAACAATAAGGCTTAAAGGATGAAAATATCGTGTAATAATCACTTCCCTTCCTAGGGTTCTTCTGCCACAACCATCCATGCTATCAGGCTGGGAGGTAGCATCACAGAGTGCTTTTGGGCTCTGATATTATCAGATTTTATGGGTGTGAAATTTGATAATTTACCGGGTATGCCAAATACTAACTTCTTCCAGAATATTCATAATCCTGTTTAAGACAAGTAAAATGTACATGAGACTAATTTCCTGCTCTTCTGAATTTATTTATTATTTACTTCTATATACTGAGAAGGCTATTGTGAAGTCTCTACTTGTTCACAGCAGTCTAGTATGGAACATAGAGGAGGAATATTACTCACACAAGAGAACTGCATATTTCTCCTTATCCTTGTTGCAGAGAAACTCTCGAAGAATTTCCAGAAGAGGATGAGCGAAGTTAAGAGGATTCTTTATCTATGGCTTTGGTAGTTATCAGCTCTATTCTTTAATTGAAACTGAAATGAGCAGCTGTTAACTTCCCTCCCATTAAGCGCTAACACGTTACATTTGAAACAATAAACAGTTGTCGCTATTTGAGTTCTTGCCATCAGCACCTCCCAAAAAACACCTGTCCGCGACAGCCAGCGCCACGACGGGCGAGCCCTTTACGCGCTCAAGGTGGCTGTTCAGAGGTGTCAGCCTTTATAAAAGTTGTATGAGTGTTTCTCCTCCTTTCAGAGAAAAGAGACGGGCTGGTTTGCACGGCACACAGAGTGCGTTTGTGCCTGTGTGGAAGGGAGGAGAGCGAGGGTACAGTTTGATACCTGTTGGCAACGCGAGCGGGTCTGTGCAGCGCCGCTAAATGCCAGCTTGGATTGCTTCCACTCTATTTAGTCTGCTACCAAACGCAAACTGTTTGAATTGAGACAAATTCAAGACACGACTGAACGGCAACGAAGCGCAAAGGAATTCCTGCCCGTGTTAAGTAGTGTCACCTTCATGGCGGTAGGCAGTCTAAATAAGGATTTGGATTAATCTCTTTTCTATTACCCACCTAGAAGCTGCCACAGGCTCCGGTGCTGAAGCTGGCGGTGCCTGCCAGCCAAGCCCGGCGCTGGTGCTGCCGAGCAGGGATGCTGTCTGGCGGCTCGGGGCTCCCGACTGGGATGCTGCTACCCAGCAGATACTGGAGCCAAGCAGAATAGAAGGATGTGCTCCTCCTCTGCCTTCCTCAAAGAGAAGATGAAGCGTTCAGTGGCACAGCAGCTTCAGGGGGCCACGGGCTCCCGCGTTTCTGCTCTGGGAGCCTTGGCAGCAAATGAGCGGCTGGGGCTAAGGGGCTTTCTGCCGCTCCCAAGTTTCAGCTGGGTGCATCCTCTGTTTAGTCAGCCAAAGGATGGGGAGGAAAACAACTTGTGGGACAGGGATGACTCCTGGCTAGTTATGGCTACAGATTCATTCCCATCGCAGCTTTCAAGAAGAGCAGTATTTCTGGGATGCTTTCCTCTCTCAAAGTAGGAAAGGAAGCTATGAAGCCATTCCTATTTATTTACTTAGGGGGTGCAAAGCTTTGAGGGGGGAGGGAAGGTGATAATAAATCGGGGGGATTTCCCCCCCCCCAAGGTTCTTCCAGCCTCCTCCTCCCTCATTTACATATCTGGCTGGTGGGTGATTTTTATTCTCAGCACGAAAACTGCAATCTATTTCAATGCATGAATGCAGCCCTGCATCTATTCAACACAGTGAAATAGCCCAGAGACTTATTGTACTAAATAAGAAAATAAAGAGAAGAAACGGGTTCGCCAGCCTCAGAAGCAACCATCTGTGATCCAAAGTCCTCCTGATTCTTTAAAGGAGGGTTGTAGAAGGGAAGGAAAAATAAACCTCCCCAAAAAAAACACCAATAACAGGGAAGACAAATACAATTACCACCACTTCTTCTACCAAGAGAATAATAATGATAATAATAATAATAATTAAAAAAAAAATAACTGACAAGCATCCCACGACATTTTCATTATCGGCAATTTGAAAACATCTGACTTACTGAGGCACCCCAGTTCAGTCTAATACCGCACCTAGGGACGAGGAAGGCGCTCGCCCAGCGCACCTTGCACGCACACGGAGCCCAAGTCAGCCAGAAACCCACGGAGCGAGAGCCCTCTGCCAGCCAGCACAAATTGTCTGTAGAAAACGAATACTCACTCTTTCAAGGAGCAAGGGAGCCGCTTGCCCACAGCCACTTCACGCACGGATTGAAAGGGTGAGGTAAAAAAAACATCAGCCGGTCGCTGGGAACAGGCAGGGTGCTCCAGATTTTCTTCTCATGCTTTCCGAGGCTGCGGATGCCGGCGGAGCCGCTGCTTGCTGGGCTTCCCGGGTCTCTGTGCCTGCATGCTGGAGCGCAGTTATTAAATTCTCCCTTCGCACAAGGCAGCGGCAGCCGCACGTCTCCAGGAAAGCAGGATATTCCAAATAAATCCGCTAATTCCGGGGCTGAGCGCGCCACCGTGCCTGCCTGCCTGCCAAACGTAACTGTGAAGCGATGTGGAAAAGTGAGCCGGGAGCCTCCCCTGACAGCTCTTATTGGGCTGATCTCGGAGGCAGGTCTAGCGCTGGGAAATTCGTGTAAGCACTTTGGGGTGGTGGTTTTCCCCCTCCTTCCCCTGCCCGCCTTCCCCCCGGCAGGCACACAACTTTTCCAGGGGCGGCGGCGCCGCTCGCTCCCCGCGGTCCTGCCGGGAGCCCGGGCCGCCAGCTCCGCACCGGGGCATCGCCCGGGAGCGAGGGAGGGAGAGAGGGAGGGAGAGAGGGAGGGATGCGGGCATGGAGGGAGGGGAGGGCGGGGGTGGGCGCCGGGCGGGGGGGCCGGGCCCGGAGCGGGGCCACCGGGGACGAGCCCGCCGGGGCTGGGACGTGCCCGGAGCGTCGGCGAGGAGGAGCCCCCCCTGCTCTGCCCTGCTCTGCCCTGCCCTGCCCTGCCCGTCCTTTGGGGTGATGCCCGCGGGAGAGGATGCGGGGGGGATGCGGCAGCACCCCGAGGGGCCGCGGGCAGCCGCTCGTCTGCGTGAGACAGCGCTGCGGGCGGGCGCCCCGGGGACAGGGAGGGCATCCTTGAAAAACGTTTTTGCCAACACGCCCGGGGAGCTGCAGGCGGTTCGCGGCTCTCGGTGGCCTCGGGCGCTGCGCGGAGCAGCCCCAGGGCAGCGCCGGCCGCCCTCCGGCAGCGGGAGCGGGATGGAGGCAGCACCGCGCAGTAAGTCCGTGACCCTGTCCCCAAATCCTCTTTGTGACCCACAGAGCCGAAATCCTGCACAGCGCCGGGATCCCGCACATCCCGGGGACCCCGCACATCCCGGGGACCCCGCACAGCCCCGGGACCCCGCACAGCCCCAGGGACCCCGCACAGCCCCGGCTGCCGGAGCGCTGAATGCGGGCTCAGGGAGCCCAGCGCTGGCCATCGTCACCTGCCTTTGGCTCTACAGGGCTGGAGGGGGCTCGTCCCATCCGGGGCAGACAAAGCACGGCCAGCAGCCCGAGAGGGACAGGCCACTGCCATCCATCCCCTGCCCACATTCCTCATCCACTGGGCTTTTCTCCTTTTCATGGGGCATGGATTATCTGTTAGCAGATTAAATGTATTATTTTTAATAATGCATCGTATGTCTGAATCCTCCCCAAGTGTGATGCTCGCCGAAAGGGAAGGGGTAAGAGCACAAGGCATAGACGTGGTCAGGTACAGGCAGGGACTTTTGAAATGGAGGGCTGGTTCCACACTGAGCTAGTGCTGTTGGGGAAGTTGAATTGCACTCAATTCCATCTTTCTCCAACTCTCCTTGACCAGTAGGATGCTGTGGTTGAAATGAACATGCTGTGTGGTTCTACATTAATGAAGCAGGTTCCTTGCTCAACTTTATTTTTAAAGGGCTGGTCATCTGAACTTCCTTCAGAGCAGCTGAAAACCTCTCCTCCTTAAGCAAAAGGTAAGATGACTCCTCTGTTGGAGATCTACCTAGGACTGCAGAACGTGGACCCTAATATTCTGCTATATAGTAAGAATACCATATAATTTAGTTCCATGATTGTTAATCTTATTTTCCATGCTGATCCTATGAGTGCATGAGACCCTCCATGTGTAGCTCTGCTCAACTTTATCTTAACTAAATGCAAGCTATTGCAGATAACAGGTGCATTTCTGCTTGCACAAATCCTCCTTCTGAAAAGTCTCAGACTCATGGGAATGTAGCAAAACGCACCCAGAATGTGCCATTTTTCAAGGTCAATGAAGAAACATCTAACTATGGCTTTGTTTCCCTCAGCCCAAGCTCTTACTTTCTGAGCTGTGAGCCTGGGAGGATTCCTTGGAGGAGGATGGATATAAAAACACACAATACTTGAAGCAGGCAGAGAGCCTTGAGGGAAATACAAAACACTTGGCAGTGCAATAGATAAGATCAGAAATATGGTTTCCTTTCACCTGGGGTTCTACTGAGGCAAAGAGTATTTTTCTCCCCCATCGTTCCACCAACTGAGCCACACAGTGAAAATACAGATCTTGTCACAAGGAAAGCATGAGGATGCTCAGCTTGGCTTTACTCTTGGGAATTAATGCCAGTTTTCAAACTTTTTTAAGGATTCAGTAAGAGTGGTTGCACACCTGGTTTTAATTTCTGTTAAAAACACCTGATGGAAGCAACCAAGAATAAAAGTTCTTCTTAATAAGAACCCTCGTGTCCTTGCTTTAAATAGGCAGCACAGTTGTGTGTGGGAAGAAAGCTAATGGTAGAGGTTGTACCTCCAAGTGCAGCTTAAAAGTTTAGTTTTTTGTTTTGATTTCAACCTTTGACTTGTGCCATTTGTTCTACGTGACCTTTCTTGCAATTGGAAATTACCAGGGCAAAAGCTGTGCTCTTTCATCCTCAGGTTGTAGGAGAGGATGGTAAGTGTCTTGTTAAAATGGATTATGCCATCCATGGATTCCCCTGCTGGAAAGCCTTTCAGATGATGGAGTAAATCTTGACAGGAAGAAGTGTATAGATTAAAATTAATGTAAAAATAAGCTTGGAATAGCAAAGGAACATTTGCAACTTTCTGCATCCTATCCAGATGAAATGATTTAATGATATTTATCATACTGAGCTATATATATATACACACACTACAGCATAAGACTGATGAATATGCTGGCTAAAAATTGTTTCCTCTTAAATAAATATTATAAGGAAGATTATTCCTCTATCTTCTAAATGGCCATTTCATTTTTTAAGCAAAAAGCAGCTCTTGCTTCAGTTGCAATGGGATGAAGATTTTTAATTTAATGACAGTACTGAAGAAAGAAGTCATCTGCAAAATGAATAGGATTGAATCTCATCCTGGATCAAACTGGAATACAATTTTTCATATTAAATTTTGAGATCAGGGAGGAAAAAAAACCAACAAATCAGAATATTTACAAAATGCATTGGCTTGTGGTATGGGTTGGTTGTTGGTATTGTTATTTTGGGGTTATTTTTCATCTTGGTTTTTTGGTACTTTTTGGTTACTTTTTTGTTTGGTTGTGTTTTTTGGAGGGTTTGCTTATTTTTTTTTTTTCTTTTAGGTGGGTTTTAGTTTCTGGAGTTGTTTTTGTTTGGTTTTTTGATTGGTTGTGATGGAGAATTGGGAAAAAATTAACCTCAGCTTGGAAGAGAACAGGGAGATTTTCTTCTATATTGCTTTGCTTTTATAAGAAGGATTAAAACCCCAATGTGACTTCCCATGCCTATATAGACAGGAAGTATCTGTCACCTAAAATATGTGGCATAATGGAATTCCACCATCTTTTCTCACTTTCATGTTTTTGTGAAAACAGTTGTTGATTATAATTTAATTTTTTGTTCCTCAGCAGTGCAATCAACCGTTTCCTGAAGACAGAGTTTAGACTTTATTGCTTAAAAATATTCAGTAGAAGCAGCTTGAAATGAGCTCTTCAGGGGCAACTCAGTCACAGCCCAGCCTTGCCAGAGTTACTGCTGGAGTCAGAGTTTGGGTCATCTCATTTAAATAACAAGGCCAGGGCTTGAGAGGGGAAAAGAAACGACTGTGCTGAGTTCTCACATCCACATTTTATTCCATCAGATCACCTACCAGTGAGATATCAAAGCATCAGTAGCTGATTTCCGTTTTCAATACGTAAAATGGGGCCTGATCCAAAATTGCATGCAATTAATGAGTCCAGAGTGAATTGCTTGATCAAGATAAATGAGTTTACTGCAAGCTACTTTTGCTTACAGGGATTGCCACTAAAATGCCACTTCAAAGTAATAAGAAATTAATAACTGATTTGAACGTTACTAAAGCAAGTTTATGGACAGTGGCATCACCTGCCACTTTTGTTGCATTAAAGCTTTAAATAAATTAAGTGCTGTTTTCCTAGGCAATACCCACTCTATGTCATTGGCACCTTTTGCTCAAATTACGTGAGGGATTACTCCTTAATTTAATTTAATTTGCCTTGTATGCTAGAACTGACATTGCATGAAATAAGAAGAAACAAGAAGGTTTATCTTAAGTCCAGAACATTTCTGAATAAAATATGCACTTTTATCAGCTCCCTGTGCCAGCACACAGACATAATTACCTTTAGAACATAGGTTCTTATCACTGTCTTGCAACCTTTAAAACCTGCTTGCATACAGTTATCACAAGTTGGTTATCAGGAAAAATAATGATCTCCTGTGTTTGGGAAGTCACTGAAGACATCTGTAACTTGAAAAAAAATCCATTATATAATGCTTACAAGTGATCCTATAGATTAAAACAAGGGAAATGATACAAGCAGCCTGTGAGATAAAGGTACAGGGTTGGGGTAGGTTTAGTTTCATTTTTTTTCCCCTCTGAAAAATTCGTGTTTACATTTTAACAGGCAAGGCTAGAAACCCTGAGAGACTTAAGTGAGGGATTGCAAAGGAATGCCAGATTCCTTCAGAGATCACACATGGTTAAAATTCAATACCCAGCACTGGAACAGAAAGCTTGGAGAGCCCCACTGAAGAGCGAGCAGCAGCAGCCATAAGTGACAGAAGTGATTCTCAACCACCCAAAAATCCTTGCTCTCGACTCTGAGCCTTCTGAGAGCAGCATCTAATCCAACTCCAGTCCCTCGTTACTTGAGATGTGAGGAGAAATGGATGCATTGATTTTGAAATTACTTTTGCTTTGACTGGACAAACATATTCCTGTAACCATTCAAATTCCTCCTCCAGCCCAAGGAAAAGTCTTTTCTGTCAGACAGAAACAAAAGTTTAGCTCAGCAGCAGCCCTGGGCTTGTGGGCCCTTAGCACATCCTTTGCCATCCCCAAACACTTCATTTAGCACTATAAAACACAACTAGCCCTGAGCCCCTTCCACTCTCCAGAGATTATAAAATATAAGCCCCCAACTACTAATCTGTGTATTTTTTGCACCAATGATATTAGAGAGTGCATAAAAATAACAATGCATTATCGGGTTTTATTATTCCTTGGGCACTGTTTGCAA